AACTACTATATCTCTAAACCCAAAACAGTATTCCTGTAATGCGCTATAGTCTACACCTAGTGATTCTCCATTATTGGGATGGGGGGTAATATCCCTAAAGCCTAAACCCTAAATAGTAGTTTCTATTTTCTTTTCCATTATCCCTATACAATCCTTAATACTGGGGTACATATATATGGAGTTGAGACCCTAAACCCTAATCCCTAAACCCTACATAATCCCGTATGTACTGCTCCCCTATATAACCCCCCCTTTAAGGAGTTTAGACCTCTCAAATGAAGCTCAGATTCCCATGTCAACGCTCAGGTTGAGTTGACGGGGCCACTCGGGGCCTGAGGCCTCAGCTTTCGCATTTACCATGTTGTTCTTATTTTTCTTATCTTTTTGTTATTGTTGTTGTTGTTCTTCTTATTGTTCTTACTCTTATTACTGTTCCTATTATTATTGTTCTTACTCTTATTGTTGTTCTTATTCGTATTATTGTTTTTGTTGTTATGATTGTTCGTAATGTTATTATTGTTCTTATTCTTATTGATGTTCTTTTTAATTGTTCTTGTTGTTCTTATTGGTATTATCGTTCTCATTCTTATTTGTGTTCTTTTCTAATGATAGTTATTGTTGTTCTTGGTCTTGTTGTTATTGTAATTATCGTTAGTATTGCGTTGTGATTATTGTTACTATGGGTTCTAGTGAAGGGATACTGAAGCATTGGGGTACACAAGGACTTGGGATGTTTGGGGTCCATTCCCTCATCCTGAATTTCTTGCAGTCTTACATGCTTTCTGCCAGGGAGCTCTGTACATGTAGAAGCTTATGGTCGGCGCGGTATCTGGCGCCCTGCAACCCCCATTGCCATCCGATATCTGCCCAAATTCGCAAACGCCGAGTGTAGGTACCTTGGATGCAACGTCTTTTTGTCGATGCTCTGTCCAAGTCTGCAGCTGCCATCTACATGAGCAAAGCTTCCAACCCGCTATTGCAAATGACCCACCGATGCTTTCAAAACACAATCTCTCCGTCTGCCCGTCGTTTTTCTGACTCCAGACTTAGCCATGCCAGGCGACACAGCGATATTGCATGTCCACACCGAATGCATAGGCGCCCCTGCATTCTGGAGCGTCAGTTGCCATGGATTTCTCCATGCAGCAAGCATTTCCTGCCGTGCGACAAATGTTGCAGAACAAATTCAAACCTGTTAAGTCTGTCTATGTTTGCCTGCGCTGTCCAATTTGGCAAAGAAAGAGCAACTTGCTGCTACTCCTTTCGTGTACGGTAGTTTCTCCAAAATAGGGTACACCAATATAGACCCCAACATACTATAGTTCTGATTATAGGGACCCCCAAAAAAGTACCCCTAATTTTGGGAAAGCCCCATACTGCGCCCAAATCTTTGTAGATTGGCTGAGCCTGCACCGCACCAGTCACAGAAACCGCTGCGGGCTTTGCAGTGAAACCAACAGTCCTCAGCTTGTGGCGCGAATGTAGGGGATATGTGCAGGTTATATAGTGGTTGTATAAGGGTTATATAGGGTCCATATCGAGGTTACTAAACTGTGCATGAACCTCATCTTGCGAAAGAATTTGGCAGCTGTATATAGTCAAGTTCAAAACAGAAGGATGCTTTCCAAAAGCAGGGCTCCTTTGCATACCCCCCCTCCCCCAAAGACTGCTATCCTCATCACTCTAAACCCTAAACTCTAAACCCTGAATAGTAGTTTCCACTTTCTTTTCCTTTATCCCTATATAACCACCATATTACCCCTATGTAGCCCCTCCCAAAAGGCCTTTGGAGACAAGATGCTTGTGAAGCATGCTTCACGCTGTAAAGCTTCTGCGGCGCAACGCAAGTGTGCCACTTCTTTGTTGGAAAGGTCACACCTCAGCACTAACTTGCAACTGCAACTGTAACTCTACCCCAAAAATAAAGATAATATAGAAGAAAGTGCAAACTACTTTTTAGGGCTTAGGGATATCTTAACCCCATAATGGAGAATCGAATGGAAATGAAAAATGAAAATGGAAATGAAAACTGTTTTTACACACGGTTTACTTCTTCTGCAGATTCCAAATTTAAGAATCACTCTGTAGAGGAGCTCATGCTGGTTGCTCGTTCTGGCCCCTCTATACATCTCCAGAATGCAAAACTGTTTCCATCGATGAACCTCCCGAAAAAGGACAACAGACTGAGAACCCCCAGATCGGGTGCCTATATACTATTATAGTGGTTTCCATCTTCTTTCCTATTGTTCCTATATAATCCCCTATAACCCCTCTAAAGCCCCTCGGGTTATAAAATCCCTACATAAGCCCCCTAACCCCAACCCTAAATCCCTTTTTGAGCTGAGGCCCGCACGTGGACGATTACCCTAAATCTCTAAACCCTAAACCCTAGAACTTATGTGGCAAGGGCCCAAGATGAGTTTCCTCAACATCCGAGATCCTTTCGGACCATGGGGACCCCACAGGAGCCATTGTCTAAACTCTTCGTATCCCCCTTCGTGGCCGCCATAGTATCCCATAGTAGTCCCCTATACTATACAATCCCCTATATAACCTCCCTTTAAGGAATTGAGACTATAGCTCATATATGATTCTAGGGTTTCGGGGGCTTGTATAGGGATCATATAGCTTCAGGGTTATGTAGGGGCTACACGGGGACTACAATTCCGGAGCAATGCGAAAAACATGGAAACTACTATAGTATTCTAGGAGACGCACAAAACTTCCCCAGGCACTTTATCTTGAGCAAAAAACCCTAAACCCTAAACCCCACATTTTGTCGCGATGAGCCTCGAGCATTACCGGTACCTGATATTCTTTCGATTCTGCAGTCCTGGTCTGGCGATGCCTAGCGGTGCTTAATGAGCAGCACTACAGCTAGCACGAGTATGAGCACACGCAGCACGCGCATGAATTTAAGCTAAGTTACTATAAGAAGGAAACCCGATTATTTAGTATACACCCTCAAGATGGGGGTGTGTTACTTTAAGATCCTTCACAGCAACCCCAAACCCTAAGCCAAGTTGCCCTGACACTCCGCAGGATCGTTTGAGGCACCAAATCGGCAACACGCATTTCCAAGACCACACCAAGCACAGTCACCAGAGATATTGCCGCAGGGTTTCCAGCAGTCTTCTCCTCGGTAGCTTCTAGACTTCTGAACGGAACACCATGTCAACAAAATCATGGGGCTTTCCTTTCGTAGGGAGACCCCCCCCCCATTATGATATGGTATGATCCTTCTTAGAGGGACCCCAAACGTTGGGTTCATATCCCTAACTGTCTCAACCTCTTAACCCTAACCCTTTATAAACCCTTAAACCCTAAACCCTAAAACCCTTTAAACACACCATGTCCGGCCTACGTGCAGAAGCTTCGAGGGTGGCCAAGTCTGATTCAAGTTCCTCACAGCCACTGAGGCAGGCCCGTAAAGTAGAGCCTGCAGCAGGGGTAAGTTTAGGGTTTAGGGTTCAGGCTTAGGGTTTAGGGTTTAGTCCCCCTCAAGTAGATAGAATATGGAGTTTTATGAGGTTATAATATAGGGATAATGGAAAAGAACATGGAAACTACCATTTAGGGTTTAGGGTATATGAGCCCTAGTCTAAACTCCGTATTGCGGTTATATAGGGAGAATGAAAAAGAAAATGGAAACTATAGGATTATAGGGAGTACATAGGGTGTATATAGGAATTATAGGATTATAGTCCCCCTCAAGTAGATACAATGCTGGTATAAGGGGATCTTATGATAATATACCCAAAGCCCAAAGCCATATTCTATCTACTTAAGGGGGACTATGCAAGGATAATGTAGGGTGTATGGGGATTTTGTTAGGGCTTTGCCGCTTGCATGGCCGTAGCAGCGCAAGGCACATTCCGAAAAGCATGACGGGTCTCTGCAAGAAGATGCTAGCTCCGCACACAAACCACATACACCCGGAATCTTATGTTAGGACACATGCGCCCGAAATCTTATGTCAGGATTTCAGGTTTAGGGCAAGCCTAGACTATAATATAGTGATTACAATATTACTGGGGCACACAGGGATTCTAAATGGATGCATAAGAAAGACTACACAAAGGGTATGCAAGGAGATTATGTAAGGGTGTATAAGGATCTTCGGAAAGTGCTCCCACAAATTGCAGGGAACCGCAGGAAATTTGCAGTACAGGAGGTAGCCCCACCTGCTCCATCAGAGCGCTTGTGTTCACTTGACGGTCGGCCCTTTGCGCTGGAGCGATGGCATTTAAACCTAGCAGTCTTGAAATTGATGATGTTGCCCGTGGAGATTGCGACGCGGCACAGCTGGCCAGCGCCAGTACGGCCACAACCTCACAAAGCGACGTTGGCTCACACATCCCATGCATTGCTGCCACAAGACTCTCACCAGATTACGATGCCATACGATGCCTTCCTCCATCTAGCATACGAATCTCTGTACAAATTGTGAGAGGGTGAGGCATGCTGCAACTGGGCCACCGCCGTGCAAGAATGGCACAGCCGGCGCGTAGGATGCGACCAACTTCGGCCATTGGGATCATGGTGGGGCACGGTCCTGCGGCCCAATGGTGTATGGTGGTTTTAGCAGTCTGGCTCTTTGGTTTACCAGAACTCATAGCGTTAAATGGCCTATAGTCCCCCTTAAGTAGATAGAATATGGGGTAGATGGAGATCTTATAATATACCCAAAGCCATATGCTATCTTCTCAAGGGGGACTCTTTGGGAAGGAATTGTTTGAACCCAAAGACTGTGGCGTAGGTGAGGTCTCGCCAGTCTCATCGGCCACAAGCGGGCGAAGCTCCATGACTGACTGAGAGGTGGTGGTTTGCCAAAACAGGGGAGACCCCAACATAGACCCCCAAATACTATAGCCCTTATTATGGGGACCCCTAATAAGGTACCCCTAATTTTGGGAAACCCCCAGTTATGTGAACGAAAATGTCATGTGGCTCTGCAGCGTCACTTAATGAGCAGCCCCCCGTCCCTAGAAGAGCTCAGATTGAAGGATGAACACAACCCGCGTGCACAAGAGTGGAGTATGACTGCTACAGCTGTATGTTTTGGTTTCCGACTGAAAATTTGAGCTAGCTATTCTCGCCTGTGAGCCTGCCAATGGCTCCAAACATCTGCAGGGCTCAAACAACTCCAGTTTTGCTGCCATTCCATCGAGAACACGCGCAGCAGGCCTCGTGAAAGCTTCTTCGACCTTGATGCTTCCTGCGAACACTCTATTACCTTTACAATTAATATTCTTACTATCAATATTACTAATGTGGCACCCCTTTTAGTGGAGGGGTTCGGATTAATGAAAAGTTTTCGGGGAATTATTCAGAATCAGCTATTGTTTGAGGGGTTCGGAATAATGAAAAGTTTTTGGGACCGAAATAAAAAAACAGCTGATTCTGAATCCTAATTTTGGTTATATCTGTCTGAATTTAGCCAAGAAAAGCAATGCAGAAGCAGCTT